ATCTCAGTTTTATTGAAACTTCTGGTGTGCTCATGATGAGGACTTTTGGATTAAAATTTCTGTTTTTTTTTCCCCAGCTGTCATTATGACACCTACTCGAGAACTAGCTCTACAGATTACAAAGGAGTGTAAAAAATTCTCAAAGACTCTTGGGGTTAGAGTCGTGTGTGTATATGGAGGAACGGGAATAAGTGAACAGGTATGTTATCAAACTTATATCACAATGACAGAATCTAGGATTGCCAGACTTTACATTCGGTCTCCAAAAAGTGCTTTGGAACATACTAGTGCAGCACCCATTTTAAACAGTCATACTTTTTCCCAGGATGGACAGAAAACTAGCCACCTGAAACTAGGAAAATAAAGTGATATAGACATAGTGAAACATCTTTCCTAGATTGAATCTGAAATGCTGAAGAGCTGCAATAAGATTATATTGCCACCTATGTAATAAACAACTCTTGTCTTTTTTACAGTCAGTTTTGGCAGTTCCTTCAAAACTTAATTATTAAGATTTTTTGTACTGGATTAGATACCAGAAACAAGTAACTCCTGCAGTGAAATTTCCTGATTGTCCTCTGTTGCATCTACCATACTTCCTCAGACTGCTTCTGATGGTTAAGAGATACAAGAAGGTCTAGATAGTGTTTAACAGAAAAATATTTTGTCTAGAAAAAAAATCAGCTTTTTGCAAAAATAATCAGATTGTTTTTAATCTGATTCCAAAAAGAGACTTCAGTGTTACAAATATTACAAATATTGGGCTTCTTTCCACTCTTTAATTGATTCTGGGGAAAGACCCAGCTGTTTTGCAGACAGGTGCAATGTTTGCATTTCAAAGTACCATTTTCAAACTGAATCTAAAAGTCTGCACAGTGTTACTTTGTACATTCACAAGCACTGGAAAACATAGATTTGTTTTAGCCAACTTTCCAAAGAGAAAGAATATGTACAACTTTACAATACTCAGAGTATAGTGGATTTGAATTAGTCAGTTGTTCAACAGATGCTGTAAAATCTGATTAGTGAGGTTTTCTCAGTCAAAGGTTCACATTACTTAGTGACTGGTTTTTCTGGTAACAAAGTAATATTGGAGATAGGTCTACATATCACACAACAATTATATTTTTAAAATAACCCATTTGAAACAATGTGATGGCAGTGTACAGAAACTCTGTCCTTTCCTCTCTAGCTGCTTTTACACATTTTTTCAGAGACAATTCATTTTTCCCTATGTTTAGGAAGAGGGTGGGATAAGGGAAAATAGATGGACTTTATCCAAAATGTGGGCTTAGATAGAGGGGACCGGTGGATGTGAGCCCCCAATTCCCTCTCTCTGTGCTAGCTGTATATTTCTCTGACATTATGTATCAATTTAATAATTGAGAACAGAAGGAAGCATATTTTAAACCCATATATTAATAGTATTGATAATTTTAAGTATTACTTGTTATAAATGTTACACATTAAAATAGTTTCTTCTGCTTATTTTATATTCAGATTGCTGAACTGAAAAGGGGTGCGGAAATAATAGTTTGCACACCTGGCCGTATGATTGATATGTTAGCAGCTAATAATGGTAAGAAAATACTTTTTATTTGTAAAGAAATTATGGCACATTGTTTCCCTCCCCTTCAATAATGAAATTCGTAGATCTGTTGAAGCTGTGGTATCTATTCTAATGTAGAATGTAGTCTTAAAAATGACTCTTCAATATCTTTCATTATAAATTTCAAAAGTATTTGATGAATGGAAACCTTTGAAGCATTTCTTAAAATAAACATACTCATTTTGGGATTATAGCTCAACTTTAGAATTGACTTTCTAAAAAAGCTGTTTGTCATCTATCATTTATATTAAAATCGTGTTCCCTATCTAATGGTTGTTGACACTGTTAACTTTTTGTACAATGAAGTTTTAATCTTTAAATTTGGGAACAAAACATAATGGTTTGAGTTTTAAAAAACGGCTTTTTTTTTCTCAAAATGTTTAAGTAATGAATAACCTAAACGGAGATATTGCAGCTTTAAAGTACATTTTACTGCAACATTATGTGCTTATCACACAATGTTTGATTGATTGTTTATGTATTTTTCTATAAAAACTCTTACTAAACTGTTGACATTTGACTTCTGTGGAAAAAGTTCCTTCAAGAGTTATAGAACTGGGCTTCCAAAGACTAAGCCATCAAAGGTAGGTACAGCAATGCTGTTCCAAAGTAATGTACACTTCTACAGTAAGAGCCAATTTTTTTTTTAAAAAGTGTTGCAAATTTCTTATTTTGATCTATCAGAAATAACATGCTACAAAATGTGTTCAGAAGTAAAGGTAAAATAAATAGAAATCTTGTGTTTACTTTGAATTAACTTACTTTTACACTACATTAAAATAGCATTTCCTCCTTCAGATTTTTAAAAAGAGCTATCCACTTGCTTGAAGATGCTGCAGTAAGGTCTAAATCAATCCAGCTTCCAACCAATAAGCATCAGTAGCTGAGGTGAAACTCAGACCTCCTGTATATATTCACTAAGTGAAATAGAAGTGACATGGCTAGGGCATCTCTGCAGATGTTTTATGTGTTTTTATTGTTTTTAATACATTCACTTTGATATCATTTTATTGAAATGGGAGTAGCAGTTTGTATAAAGTAATAGAAAGCAGGCTGTTGTGGATTGTAACTTCTTGTTTGTGCTAGAAATGACTCTCGTCTCTCTATATGCAAAAGTAGTCAAGAATGTTTTCTGTACTCTAGATCCATCAAATAGTAGACCAATAGAAACCCATAGTAGAAATCTGTAATTCTTTCCAGTTTAAGGGTTCATGACTTCTCAGGTCAAATCCTCAAACTGCTTCCTTCTGTTTAAAAAAAAACCCCGTAGAATTAAATTCTAAAAGAAAAGTATTATGTATGTTAAATACAGATGTATATTCTCTCTTCTTTGCCATACAGTATGAATCAACAGGGAGGAAATACAAAGTACATTAAATAGTGATGGAGAATTACTGATGTATGCACATTGTGCTTTTGAATACAAGATTTAGTATAGAATTGCTGATTCTCAAACAATTAAATTGGGCTTAGGTATACTTTCTATCAGCACCTTTGAAAATCTTTAGTTAAAATTTAAAAAAATCTTTTTGTTCTAGATCATTACACAAGGCAAAGATGTCTTTTGCATGGGGCTATTTGTCACTTTGTGTGTGAGATAGCTATTCTTAAGATTAAGTTCATTAATTTTAAGCTATATTTGTAGATCAGAAAAAAAAATGTGCAGTTCTGTTTATATTAGTATGATGGTAGCTTCTGTGAATAGGTTCTGTGAACCAGCATGAGACTTTCTGCTTAGAAAATTGGAGATAACACTTTCCCTGACTTCAGTGTAATTAAATTTTGAATCAAGTATTTGCAATAGTGACGCTAAGATTTTGTAAGGTTTCTTCAGTTATCACTTGAATTTTGCTTTCCACACATGCGCTGTAATCTCTAATATGTTTTTTTCTAGGTGGCGCTCACAGATAATGGCTGATGTGGCTCGTTGCTTCACCTTAGTCTTAGTTTTATGATGTGTTTTGGTGAGGGCTGTTTTCTGAATTTTGCAGGTCCTTCTGGCCTTGTACTGATATGCAAGAGAAGTAATTGACAAAATAATGGGCCTTGTGCATCAGTACACAATTGCGAAAACATTTGCTAGTACAAAAGATAAGGCACTTAGTGAATTGTTTTTCTAAAATAAATAAATGATTAAATTTTTGTTTAGACTCTAGTCAGAATATGTACCATTTTATTTATATAATTTACGAAGAAAAATAGCTTTTAGATTTATTCTTGTTTCCTTTTGTTGTTTTCTCTCCTTTCTATAGGTCGGGTGACAAATCTTCGGAGAGTGACATATGTTGTCCTTGATGAAGCAGATAGAATGTTTGATATGGGCTTTGAGCCTCAGGTAACCAGAGAGATGACTAGTTTTTACAGATTTCCTAACAAAGACTTACACAATATATTTCATGTTCTGGTCCATGATGGCATAGCTATTGATTACTAGAATGTTATTTTTGTCTAGTAAATGTTTAATCTCTAATGTAAGTACCAAAATGGGCATTGGAAAAGTCCAAAGTATTATCTGATACCTACTTATACTACAATGCTGTCTGTTATCCAATTCATTAAATTAGGTACAAGATTATACAAAAAAGAAAAAAAGAATGGAGTTTACCTATTAACCACTTGTAAATACCTTAGTAGTAGATAATTGCTTACCACTGGTGTGAACATTGAATATTGTAGAAGAATGTCTTTCCACAGAAAAGCAATAAGCTGATTTGGGAAATTCACTATTAACCCACTTTTGTTCATGATAGGTTATGCGCATTGTAGACAATGTGAGACTTGATCGCCAGACCGTGATGTTTTCTGCTACTTTCCCTAGAGCCATGGAGGCTTTAGCGCGCCGTATTCTCAGCAAACCAATTGAGGTCCAAGTTGGTGGCCGGAGTGTTGTCTGTTCAGATGTTGAACAGAAAGTGGTAAGATGTAGAAATGTAATCTTTGTATTCCCTGTCTTAATGACAGCCTTCAAAGGATAGCTTTAGAACAAAGCTATATATCCAAGATAGCTTTACTTGTAAATATTTTGCAGGCATTGACTTCTGAAATGTATTAACCATATAAAGTAGAGAGTAATTCTTGTTGTTTTGTGTGTCTTTGATGAAGCAGTTCATCAAAGCACTAGTGATAACATTTATTTTCCTGTGCTGCAGAGTGATATATAATTTTTATTGTAAAATTTATCCAATAATCTATTGTGCTAAAAAGTTCATACAGTATTGTTGTCAAAGGAATCCATATGCTACTATAAAGGAACATAGTCAGTTTGGAACTGGCACTTCGTTATCACAAAGTACAGTAGAACCTCTGGTCACGAACGCTTCTGACCATGACCAAATTGGGTTCCAACCAGAAAATTCACGATTTTTCCCCACAGCCGATATCCTCTTCCATT